TGTGGCAGTCCAGCCGTCACAACACGAACATGCCTGAGTTGGGGAGTGAGGATTGAGAAAGGAAAGAACGCTCAAACCTGAGCGGAGATGAAGAGAAGTCTGATTTATTTCACAGAAAGAGCTCCTTTTATAGGTTCACAGCAACAGGAAGCTTTTAAGGGCACACAACAACCAAAAACACCAAGTCATTGTTTTTCAAAGACCCGATTTCCTGACTCTTACTGATAACATCAGATCTTCAGCTAACGAGCTTCCTGTTATGTCAGGGTGAGTTCCTGACTCTTACAGATAACATCAGATTTTCGGCTAACGAGCTTCCTGTTATGTCAGGGTCAAAGAGTCAAAACCAGTTTAACAAACAGTTTCCTTGAAGAGTAGCAAATGTTGATGCCTTAATTATACAAGAAGTTATTTTCCAAATGTCAAACTCCAGTGGGCCATGACTGGGCCCCGACAACCTAGATCAAGGTAGCAGCAGGGCAAGCATTCTCTCCCAAGCCTCTAGGGAAGGGTCCTTCCTTACCTTTCCCAGCTTCTGGTGACGTGAGGCATTGTTTGGCTTGAAGCTGCATAACTCCAGTCTCTGCCTGTCTTCATGTGGTTCTCCTCTGTGTATCTAATCTGCATGCTCCTGTAAGGACAGTTGTCATTGGATTTAGGGCCCACTGGGTTTCTCCAATATGATCTCATTTCAAGATCCTTACCTGAATTACACATGAAAAGATCACTTTTCCTATAAGGCCACATTCATGGGCTGGGGGAGTTGGGCTGGCTTTGGGCTGTCACCGTTGAATCCAGTGCATTGTTACCACCTACAGCTCTTTGCTTGCATGCTCACGTCCCCAGACCAAGATTAAATGATGAAAAACCAAACCTCAGTAGATTCCTCCTCTTTCTCCTCCACTAACAAACTCTTCCCTTATAACGAGAATATTATAGTAGCTCACATTTATTATCGTTGTTTTTGTATTAGCATGTTTGCAGTACATAATGTTTACATTCCTTGTGAGGAGTTGGTACATGGACATAACACATCTTAACTCCTTTTCTTCTTTCCATGTGTAGGACACACTGTAAGCATGTCGGCATTTATTTGAGGATTAAATCAAATCTTCATAAAAATCCCATGAGGCAAGAATCATCTCTATCTCATTTTGCAGATGAAGAAATAGAGATGCTAAGTAAATCTGCCACAAATCCCTCAGCTAATAAGTAAATTGAACTACAGTTTTTACCTAGAAAGCCTGCATTTTTGACAGCTTTATTGAGATATAATTTCACATCATAAAACTCACCCATTTAAAATGTACAATTCAATGATAATACATATGCAGAGCTTTGCAGCCATCGCCACACTCATTTTAGGTTATAGTCATCACCACATAAAGAAATCTTTTAGCTGTCACCTACCAATGTCCCATCCCTTAGACCTGGTAACTTATAGACAATTTATCACCTATGTCTATAGATCTGCCTATTCTGAACATTTCATGTAAGTGGAATTAAATTTCATGAAAGTGTAATCTTTATGTGTGGCTTCTTTTACTTGGTATAATGTTATCAATATTCATCTGTGTCATTCCATTTTTCAGTACCTCATTCCTTTTTTATGGTCAGATAATATTCCACTATATAGCTATACCACATTTTATGTATCCTTTCAGCTGTTGATTTATTTTGGGTTATTTCTACTTATTGTTAACCTGCACTTTTAAATGTGATGCCCTACTAATCACAGATAATTATCTCCTCTAAAGGACCCATTGCCATGAGCTAAGAAGTTAGAATTACTCCATAAAGAAAGTTCCTAGGAGGTTATTAGTCACTCGGTTTTCCTTCTAGAATAACTGGAAAATTTGTAGTAAAAGATAATTCACTGATTTTTTTAAACTTCTTTCATATGTTTTCACAATCTCACTTGTACCTCTGACTTGTCCTTGCACTCACCTGATAGCCTGAATGCTACAATCTCTTACTAAGTGTGAATCTTATTTCTGAAAACACAAGGCATGGAGACCCTGACTCCCTCAAGCCTCACAGCATGTCAAGAGTAGAGCTGGTCAACCACACACACTCTCATGATCATTACTCCTTTCTTAGCATCCGGAGGTCTTTGTTACCTATCTGGTCCCTTAATACTTCAACTTTCCTATATTCAAGAAGACCCTTCAACCAGCACATTTCTTCAAACTGTCCAGTACAGGCCCTTTACCGTAGAGTAAGAGTAGAGAATCATGTGAAGGTTCTCCATGTTCCTTTCACTAGGTTTCAAGACAATTCCCAACTCTGCGGGGATCTTGTTTCATCCAGAGGCCTCTTCCCCCTCCAGGGGTGTGGGAGTAAATTCAGAACAACCAATTCACCCTACAGGGATTTGTATCTGATTTGTATGTAGCAGTTGTGGTTTTCTGTGGCTGATTTCAAGTTATCAACACGATGATAGCGAACAAGGATTGGAAAAAGATGTACAGGAGCACATGGTTCTGAAGTATTTCCAACACATACAATAAGTGGGAAAATTTTAAGAGCACAGATAAAAGGAACTGTACTAAAAAAGCCAGGAAGTGGTAAGTTTTGAGTAATTGCTAACTTTTTAAAAAAATATATTCATTTAATTTTAACCTTCTAGAATTTAATTTTCACTAAGAAGTGTTTACTCCCCCTTTACGTTCCTGAATATTTAAGTCGGCACTTGCCAATGAGCATATACGTGCTAGCTCTAGCCAACTACTACACTCCTCCATCTCCTGATTGCCTTTTAAAAAAATCTCAGACATATCGTTTCACCTACTCTTTAACATTAACTCTAAAAAATAAAAGCTCTTTTAAAAAACAAAACTGCAATATAATTACAGCACATTAAAAATAACAATAATTTAATAATACTCCCTAATAGTTCCCTAATTGGCATATAAATTTTTAATAATGCACTTAATTTGGGATTCAAATAAGGTCCATAAACACTTCCATTGATTGATAAGGCTCATTAATTCTCTCTCTCTCTCTGTCATCTCCCTCCCTCTTACTTCCTCTCTGTTTTTCCATGTAAGTCATTCAGTTATTTACTAAAAAAAATGGGAAAGTGGGCCACCCTTTCAGTCTTCTTTATTGGACAGACTGACATGGCAAAAGAATAGAATGCCATAAAATAAAGACACCTATTCAGGAAAGGATCATCTGTGGGCTGCCGGAGACTCCCGCAGTCGGGTTCCAGTACCTTCCTGTCCAGTGTGCCATGCAGGGCTGAGAAGAAGAATACACTGAGAGAGAGAAAGAGGAGAGCCTGGATGATCAATGTTGGTGCAACTGACAAAGGTGCTGGCCAGTCCCAGGCACTGACTTTTATTGGCAATCAGTTGGGGTAAAGGCAGTGTGTGGTTTCTATGGGAATTAATGTAAACAAGACTCATAAAGGACAAGACAAAGTATTCTCAAGTTAGGAACGAAATAGACAAAATGTATGATTGTAATTAGAACATTGTCCCTCAGCCTGAAGGTTTTAGGTGTGGGGTCAGAACTCTGACCTCGGCACATAGGCTTTGACCACACTCACTTCTATAAACAAGCCAATCATGGGCTTAACTCTTCCCAGCCTGCTTATTGGGCATCATAGATTTTACAGTCCTCTACAGTGGGCCATTGGTTTTGCTTTTAAGAGAAGGCGTCTATTGCCCATGACCAAAAGAACTACAGCCATGAAAGTTCTAACCCTATAAAATGAAGATAGAGATTTGTTAATGCTAACATTAAAGTGAACACACATACATTGGGAGAGCTAAAACAATGGAGCAGCACACCTGCCCCCACCACCTGACGAGCAGGAGGTACCCACTGCCACTGCCTAGCCTGCCAGCACCGGCTTTCAAAAGCAGCCAAGCCCCCGTCACCTTTTGTCACACTGCGGTAACTAGCAGCAGGAGCGAGGTTGTGAGGCACGGGAAAGCCTGGCTCATGTAAGGGAGATTTGGCAGGTGATGATAGAAAGCTCCATCTCTTTGAGATCTCATTAGAAAACATGAACCTTGAAACTTCAGCTTTCCCCTTTCCGGAGGAGCTCTGTGTGGGCGGCTGGGGTTTCAGCTCCAGTTGTCACTGCAAATGCTGCTAGGCAGGAGCAAGACACTCAGGAATCTCTGACGTGTCTCTGAAGGGTTTCAAAGATGAACCAGCTCTTCTGCATATTTCTTCCTCTTTTTTTTTTCTCTTTCTCCTCTTTTTTTTTTTTCCCCAAATATAGTGCCAGGAATGGAAACTTCACTCATCCTATTTCCCAAACTTGGCAGCTATGACAGTTTTATTGCAGCACCTTATTGAAACGTAGCCACATATTTACATAATTAAGCCCAGGTCTGCTTTTCTCTTCCCTGCATTTACACTTGTCACTCACTGCAGTGGGGCATGGTGATTCCAGCTGTACCCAGGTGAGAACCTGGGCCTTGGCATGGTGTCAGCCCCAGGTGCCAGTGAACATTCTCTAACGAAACAGAGATGATGGGTTTGAATATGAGTGAAGAGAAATGGTTTCCTCCTTTTGGCAGGAAGCTGCTAACCTTTTGCGTTGCATCTTAAAGCTGAAAGGTGCCCTGAAAATCATCTGAACATGATGTAGAGGTTGCAGGCTGGCAACACGCACCTGATTTGGTCCTCATAGTCATCATGCATGCCTATTGTAATGTGTGTGTTTGTTTTTGGTTTGAAATAATTGTTGATTCTTAAAATTGAGGAATTCACTTAAAAAGTCAAATTTGGGGCTTTTCTTTTTAAAACTATCAGCATCAGCCACTCTGCACATGTATTCCTTGCATTCTAACCATCAGCTGGAGCTAATCAGCACCTACCCACTTCTGATGAGGCCTGGATCTGTGTTACAGCTCCCACTCCTCCTTCTCTGTCAGCCTTCTGGACATATGTATGTGACCCTGTACCCTGCAAAAAGGTGAGTTTGTAAACATCACATTACAGGTGAACAGCAGACACTCTACACGGTTTGATAAACAGTAAATGACAGCTCCCAGGTTTTCTACCTCTGAACAGTACTGACCACAAGGTCTTTCTTGGCAGTGTCCAAATACCTGAATTCTGACACTGGGTCCATCACTTACCAGCCATGGCATCTAGGCACAAGCTTAAAGCTCTCTAAGTGATGGTAGCATGTTTTCAACAGACCTGGGTATATGGGGGTGAATGTGTTTATGGAAGCAATGGAAAAAACCCAAACACCCATGCAATCTTATGCTTATTATTAGTATTTTCATGATGATATTTACCTTCATTATTTCAAGCTCATCAATGCCTTCCTTGTTCCAAAATATTTTTTATTAAGTATCCCCTCAATTAAACTCAATGAGTGTATTTTGAACATTTATCTGTACCCACACATATATGCTGAGTCAAAGAAATATATGGCAAGATGAGATGATGAGAATGCAATATAGATAAAAAAAAGCAATTTGGCCCTTACTTTTTCAGTTGAAGAAATTGAGACACACAGAGATCAAGTAATGCTCAAGGCACTACAGCTAGTCAGCAATACAGACAGCAATCTGGCCCACATTCTCCCTCATGCCGTGTAACATTTTCCTCACTCCTTGTGATAAACAAACTCTCACTGCACCTCCCTTCAAGCACGCACACAGGCTCGCTCCCTGCCCTACTCCAACATCATTACTCTTGAGCTTATTTCATTGATTGTTTCAACCCACCAGCCCTCCCCTTCTGTCCACAATGTCTGCCTCTCCACCTCTGCTTATAGTCAAGCAAGCCCAGTCAGGAATATTTTCCCTCCTGCCTGGACCAAATTGTTATCATCACAAAGATGATTGTTTATTCATTGTCATCATCATTGTCATCATTATTTAGCTTGCATTACGGCTGAAAGGAAGTGTGACTTGATCCTCAGTGAGTCATCAAGTGCAACCAACACTCATCAAAAGGACTGTGAATTGATGGTTGTTATAATCTTCCTAATTATCAATTCCTTTTTGACGACCTCTTTGTTATCAGCAAGGATGCTGAGTAGTTACAGAACCTTAATAGTCCCTGTGCCTGCAAACCAACATCAACCTCCTGAAGAGTGCAAGATGCACTGTGGATGCGAATGTGTGTCTGTAGTACATTTATGTGCATACAGACAATGATTTAAATCCCGCCTTGTCTCTGATTATGATGACATAAATTACAAGATGCTATGAAAAGAAAAGGAGATTAAAAAAGAAAAGCAAATAGGATTATACAGTGGAACCAGAAATAAAGCTAGAACTGCTTATGCACATATGTTGACACTGGCCACAGATTCAGCTCTTACATTTTCAGGGGCCTGGTGCAGAAAGAGCAACTTAATCATTTGATTTGCAGAAAGGTTTCTAGTGCAAAACTGAAATGGTTGCTTTAAAAGGTATGCATAATACTAACAGGAAGACCTCCAGAAAATTTCACCTGGGAAGTCCTTAAAGGGGAAAACGTGAATAAGCAGTAAATACAGAGTGACCTCAACAGTACCTTTATGATAGTTAAAAGAATAAGATTCATCTATCTTAGCCAGGCATGGTAGCCCATGCCTATATTCCCAGCACTCTGGGAGGCTGAGACAGGACTATCATAAGTTCAAGTAAGCATCAGAACTCTGTCTCAAAATAAAGATGATGATGATGATGATGATGATGATAATGATGATGACAATGGATTGATGACATCGCTCAGTGAAAAGATCCTGTGTTCAATTCCCAGCCCCACCAAAAAATATCCATTTAAAGCCGGGCATGGTGGCACACGCCTGTAATCCCAGCACTCAGGAGGCTGAGGCAGGAGGAATGCTGTGAGTTTGAGACCAGCCTGGGCTACATAGTGAGTTCCAGGTCAGTCTCCACTACATAGTGAGACTCTGTCTCAAAAAACCAAAAAAAACAAATCCATTTTTCACCTGTCTTGCACCTAACCTCCAAGTGCATTTCAGAGAGAATGATTCTTGGGAGTGAGCAGAGGAGGGCTTAAAGTGGACAGGAGACTACGCCCATATGTATTAATATATATGAATGCATTTTATCTGTGTGTATATATGTCATTTTTTTAATTATTACCAAAATGTACTCATTAAGAGTTTTTCTACCTTCTCCAAATACAGTAAAACTACCTGTCAGCAACTGCAACCACAACTGGTAAGTATAATCATAACTAATGAGTCTGTTTCCTGATCCTGCCTCTCTTGAAATCACAGTTGACCTAAAATCACTGCTAGTTCCGATGCATATGCCTCTGGCTCTTATTTCCCCAGAGCTCACTAATTGTCCTATGAGCACACAGCCTGGGATTAAATGCTTGGGCTTGGGACACAGGCAGCTCCACTTTAAATCCCACTGCCTTTAGGAATAAAGAGTGGGATAATTAACCTTTTTATTATCACATTTGTTATAACATGGAGGCTCCTAATAGCACCTACTTTACAGGGTTGTTGTAAAGATTAAATATTAATAGATTTAAAGTCTAGTAAATGGATAGCATTCAACGAATATTGGCCACTGTTATCATTATGATTATTATTTCATGGAACTGGCCTTGGCTTTTGGGTACCTTCTTCTCAGTAAGAAACAGCCATTGGAGAAATACTGTAGTTCCCTGGGGATGTTTGTTCATGTTGCACTCAATGATATACTTGTTACTCTCAGGTTATGTTATGATAGGCCTTCCAATTAGAGTGCAAGTCCCATAGTATCATAGGTATCACCTAGTATAACCTTTTCATTTTACATTTGCTGGAGAAAACAGAACATCAGCATAGTTGAGTAGCATTGCTAACATCTCCAAAGTTAAACATTCAGAAAATGGCAGACTGTATCAAGAAGTAGTCACTTCACTTCCGGTCTAGTTCTTTTGCCATCACAGCATCTTGTAATCCTTGCAATATTGACACATAGCAATCTCTTTGACTCCCATTTATCTCTCAGTATGACAACCCTCAAATATTCCCCTCTTATACAATGCCTTCTCCAGTGTCTCTTAGCCAATCTCCCACTTAATGTTTGTACCTGGTTATCCCACAGACTTTCAAATTCTACTGGTTCTAAGGAGCTCATCACCCTCCTCTTCCTGCATTTTGTATCTGTTGAAGACCCCAGGATCCACATAATAATCAAGCAGGAAATTTGCACCCCCAATTCCTCACTCTTCCCTATTCTATATACATCAAGGCTATTGGTTTTACTTGCAAACAATTTCCCAAATGTGTCCTTTCTTAGTAATCTCTAAACCACTGACCTAATTTGGCTCAAACTATTCTAAAGCCATTTGATTTGTTCCCTTGAAAAACCATAAGCACTTAAGGAAAGCAGAAAATAAATAGTATTTACTGAGTCTTGCTGCATGCCCAAATTTGGTGCTAGGAGCTTATATGTATTGTGATCACAGCTTATATGGTATCCTCATTTCACAGATGAAGCTGAAGCTTTCCCAAATTGTCTATAAATGCTGGAGTCATGTTTAAAAACTAACAAAAGCTACTGACATTAGAGTTTATTACAACCCTAAGTCTAAAGGAAAGAGAAGGGAGTAGTTACCAGTTGATGCAAAAAAAGTAATTACATAGAAAATGCCTTCCAACAAGAGCTGGAGCCTCTGTAAAGGCAGGCACCAGGATAGCAAAAGTAGTTCTGAGCTTCAAGGACAAGGCAGGGGGCATCATAATCCCTGATTTGAAGCAACAAAGCTACCATGATAAAAACAGTATGGTACTGACAAAGAAATACACCCAACTATTGGTGGAACTGAATAGAAGAACAACTCCAAACACACTCAACTACCTTACCTTAGACAAAGGGACCAAACATCTTCACTTGAAGAAAGACAGCCTCTTTAATAAATGGTGCCGAGAAAACTGGTTTGCCACATGCTGAAGACTGAACCATACCCATATCTCTCACTAGGTACTAAAATAAAATTGAAATGGATGAAAGATCTAAATATAAAAGCAGAAATAGTCTGCTGGAAGATATAATAGATAGAACTCTTGAAGACATGGATGTAGGCAAAGATTTTATGAATAAAACTCTGATCACATAGGAAATACTACAGAGAGTCAACAACAGGGATCATATCAAGTTAAGAAGCTTTTCCACAGCAAAAGAAACCACCAACAAAGTGAAGAGACAACCCATAGAATTGGGAAAAAATTTTGACAGCTGGTTCCTCAGAAAAGGACTAACATCTAGAATATATAAAGAACTTATAAAATCAAGCCACCCAAATTTGAAGACCTAATCCAAAAATGGACATCTGAAATGAATAGATATCTCAGATGAAGAATTTGAAATGCAAATAAATATATCAAAAATTGTTCAACATCACTGGTCATTCAAGAAATGCAAATTATCCATCAGCAGAGCCGAGTAGCCGCGCCCTCCCCTGCCTGCTCCACCACCAGCTCCAGCAAGGAAGGTAGCCATGCGGGCACCCCTGAACCCCACCCCCTGCTCTCAGACCTCCTGATTGGGCCAGTCCTTGGACCCACTCTGCAGAGGCATAGGTGGTCATAAAGGTAATTTTCTGAGGTCCCAACTTTGAACATCTTTAAAGAAAGGGCAGGGGAAACCTGTAATAGAACTGTGTGGAGTTCAATCCTGCAGGTCGGGGAACTCAATCTGCACCTTGCAGTCTGAGGTCAATCTGAGTCATGGGGATCTGCCATTGGCTAGCTGAGATCAGGGGACTTGGTCCTGCACATGGCTGAGCATGTGGTATATTATGACAGCAGAAATATAGTCTGAAAGAGGCCCTTCAAATTCATTTTTTGTTTCTTTTCTTCATTCCACTCTGCAAATTCTTTTTTCTGTCCTCTCTCCAACTCAGTGTCTTGCTCCATCATATGATCCCTCATCTCCTTTTCTGTTCCTGCTCCTGTCCTAACTCAGACTTCTTCTTTTATCATTTTTTCTTTT